TTCTATTCCTAGCTTTATGTATGTATGAATGTAGGTATGTATATACAGTCATGTGTCCCTTCCCAACACTACACGTTCTGAGAAAGGTATACTTGAGTAATTTCATCATAGTGCAGCATCACAGAGTGTAGTTACACAAACCTGTATGAATTTCCCCTAAGCAAGTGTGGTCAGGATGAAGTGATGGTGAGAGGGGGTTCGTGTGCCTCTTCACTCTGTTCTCTGCATCCTATGAGTTTTTAATATTTTAAGTGTGTTTCTCTTGGCATTCTCTCTTGATGTTTCCCACAATGATAGAGAATTTTACAAGTCACCCTGGTTGAGTCCTTTCACAGAGATTTTGATGGAAGGAAGGCATTAAATGCAAGGGTTTAGGTCATATTATTGCTTCCAGAAATTTCTTTTTTTCTTCAGAATTTTCCTTTTATTGTTGATCATTTTTTTCATGTGTTTTAAAAAATAATTTTCTAAGTTCAGAAAATTTTTATGGAATTCTGATTGAAATTGACCGGATATAAATTAGCTTGGGGTAATAAAGTATGCATGTATATTTTTTCTTTTGATGCAGTTCTATCTTACATTTGTTAATTTAAATCATTTAAAAAATAGTTTTATTACATTTTATAGGACCTTTCTGGTATTCCTGCAAACCATATTCCCTTCTATCTTCCCATTACTTATATATGTCAGTTGTAATCTCCGCTCACTGCCTTTATTTCAATTCTTTCCCACTGTCTTATGACTTGCAATCTGCCTTTTACCACTCTAGTTTGACTTAATTCAGGTGCCTTTCTTCATTTTCATATTCCTCAGCTTACTGAGATTTATAAAATAGTTCCGACCACTATCCTTTTTCTCTTTTCAAAGCTCAGTTATGATTTTCTCTCCCTTTAACTGAACTCTGTCCCTGTTTTTCTGTCTTTTTCTCATTTAGCCATAAGATCTTAGTTGTATTAACTTGGATCTCTATCTGTTACCGAGACCCCCCACAGGTCTGTTTGCTCACCAGTTAATAGCCAATAATTGAGACAAGTGTTGGTGTAAGGAAAGGTAGCTTTTAATCAGGGAGCCAGCAGCCTGGGAGATGGTGGACTTATGTCCTCAAAGACCATCTCCACTTTTCCCAGACTTGCCAAAGGGTTTTGTAGGGATGGGTGGTAGGGGGCTGATTAATGGTGATCTAAGCAGGAACATACAGGCATAATCATAAAATTGCAGATAAACACCAAAGAACTTCCCAGGTGGGAGCTGATTCATGGTGACCATCCTCCATGGGTCAAGTCATGGATTCAGTTCCTGTTAATCTAAAAAAAAAAATCTAGTTAGTAAGCTAGTAAAGAATGGCCATCTGGGTTAATAATTTCTTCTATAATTATTCTGTATACAATGTGAGCAGGAGTCAGTATGTTCTAGCAATCATGTGAACAAGAGTCATTGTATTCTAATGTCCAGCTGCAAGCTATGTAGTTTGGGTTACAAGAGTGGGGGGAAAAAACTTTTAAATTTGAAAGTTTAACAAAATGGAGTCACTTCTGTTCAGGCTGTTACAGTGCTGTCTAATAGAACTTTCTGTAGTGATGGAAATAGTCTATGGCTGTGCTTTCCAATGCAGTAGCCACTAGCCACATTTGGCTTTGAGCTCTTGAAATATGGCTAGTGTGATTAAGGAACTAAATTTTTTAAAATTTTATTTTCATTAATTTATATTTAAATTGCCATATATAGTTTAGTAGCAACCATAGTGGATAGCATAGCTCTATATAGACTTTTAAAGAAGGAGATCCAATCTATAAGTCTGTGCGTCATTGGCCAGGCTATACATTGGAACATATTGTGAACATTAGCAGTGAACCTCTTCCTTCTTCTTAAGATTTCACATAGGTCCCAGACCTTTTCCCCCAGACTTCCTACTAGAACCATCTGGGTTTCATGCCAGTAATATAATAATGACTTACTTTGTCAGTATATCTATTAGTTTGTCTATTGCCCACCAGTTCAGCATGTGGGAGACTAGGTCCACTGATTAGTAAGACCTTTTCCTTTTCCAACATCATACATCAGCCTACATACTATACAGTTCCAACTGGATTCCAAAGTTGATTATACTCTGACTTCTAACTTCCATCTACTTACAGAGTATAAACAGCTGGAAAATACATATTGCTAATAGCTAACATATTGCCTGGATACATTTTAACCCCAACGAGTTTACCTTTTCTATTTTTTGTCTTGCCACTTGACAATTAGGCTATTTCAGAATCCCTGTTCAGACATAGATGTAATAATATCTGAGCCTACTAGTGGTGTGGGTGCAAGAATTATTTAATAAGGATAGATGAATTAATTTTATTTTATAAGTACCACCAAATATCTATAATAAGCCAGACACTGCTAGGTATGTTATAAATGTATTATCTCTTATTCTCATACTGTACTTGCAAAGTAACCTCATTTTGCCAAATAAGAAACTGAGGCTCAAGAGGTAGGTTAATCAGCTTGTTAAAGATAGAACACCTGGCTAGCTACATGTGGAGTTAGGATTCAAATCCACCTTTGTCTGACCCCAAAGCCTGTGTTTCCACTGTACTACATGGTTGCCCATTTACGTCTCTTCTGCTTTGCATGAACCATAATTTCCTTTCCTCCCTCAATCAGTTACTGATGTAGGTGAATTCCCTTCTTTTTTTTGCTGAATGCCATTATAATACCATTGACTTCTAAGTATTTCTCTACTCCAATCATAGTGAATATGTCTTCCACACATACAATACTTATTTCCTGCTCTATGCTTTTCCCAGGCTACCTGCCGCACGATGTAGAATTCCTTCCCCTACAGTATTCATCTGCCATGTTTTTATTTGTTTATTTAATAAGAAAGTAGTTGGAGCTCCAGGCACACCAGAATCCCTCATGTTGGAAACTATCTGTAGTCTTCTCCCATCAGGCTTCTTTTACTCAGCATTACATTAGGCATACCTGCCGTTTGCCTGGAGTAGAGAAAAGATTTATTTTTGTTAAGAGGGAATATAGGGGCCCTGGTGATGGATACAAAAGAGGAGGGCTGGGAGAGTGGGTGAGGAGCAGAAGTAGTTGGGTTTCTGGGGAAAGAATGAACACAGTACGGACCTAACAGAGGATAAGTGAACAAAGCCCTCTCAGACCTGGGTTTAGATAGGGGCTCAAATAAGAGAAAACCCAAGGCTGTGTATAAGAGGGGCTGATAGGGATGGAGGCTTTCCTTGAGTGGAGGGTACATTGGAAAGAAGAAAGATACAGATGCATATTCTGTCCTTTGCTTTTCAATTTTGTGCTGGAGGCAAATTTTCTTTTCAACAGATAGGAAGCTTTTTGGTAAACACTATACATAATTAACCCCCAAATGCTAACATGCACAGTTCTAAAATAATCCCTAACCACATCCAAACATGAAAATGCCTCTGTTACTGAAATATTCACTATATTTTGGAAACCTCATCATAGTCTTGAAAACCAAGCTCATGTTTTCCAGAAATTATTTCTTTTTTCTTATAGGGGCCCTGGTGATGGATACAAAAGAGGAGGGCTGGGAGAGTGGGTGAGGAGCAGAAGTAGTTGGGTTTCTGGGGAAAGAATGAACACAGTACGGACCTAACAGAGGATAAGTGAACAAAGCCCTCTCAGACCTGGGTTTAGATAGGGGCTCAAATAAGAGAAAACCCAAGGCTGTGTATAAGAGGGGCTGATAGGGATGGAGGCTTTCCTTGAGTGGAGGGTACATTGGAAAGAAGAAAGATACAGATGCATATTCTGTCCTTTGCTTTTCAATTTTGTGCTGGAGGCAAATTTTCTTTTCAACAGATAGGAAGCTTTTTGGTAAACACTATACATAATTAACCCCCAAATGCTAACATGCACAGTTCTAAAATAATCCCTAACCACATCCAAACATGAAAATGCCTCTGTTACTGAAATATTCACTATATTTTGGAAACCTCATCATAGTCTTGAAAACCAAGCTCATGTTTTCCAGAAATTATTTCTTAACTAAGCTAATGAGTTTTGATTTCTTTTTTTCTGACATTTATACTACTAATAATCTATATCATATTAGCTAGTCCTTCATTTTCTGCTATATCAAATCATTATACATACAGGTTTTATCTCTCTTCTTAGAGTTTAAAAAATGGGAAAAGGATATTGTCTCAGACTTTTTCCTCCTCTGCTAGGTGCTGGGCACATAATAGTAACTTCTGTATATTTTAATATATTGGCTGATTATTATGGTGTGACATTAAAAGGACTTTCTCATTTTTGTTTTTGAGATTATCTTTTAAAAATAGGGTTTTTTTCACCTTACCCAAATAATATTCTTTCTTGAAAGTATCAAGTGTCTGCTCTATAGGAATCATTTTTCTCTCAGTGATGTGAAAAGCTAACCTCCAGATTTCTTCTAGGCACTGAGAAAAAAAAAATGATTTTTCCTCAGCCCTCATAAAATCTTAGAAATTTCTGAACATTAGTGGAAAAAATTATTATAAGATTAATCTGGTAGCATTCATTTGTTCAACAACATGTTGCAATTGGCCTAAGCTTTAGATGCAACAGTAAGAAGAAAAAGGAGCAAACATCAGTTCCTATCCTCATGGAGCTTTCAGTGCAGGATGGACTGGAGGCTTTAAAGACTAGAGGCAGGGAAACTGATTATGATCTAATCAGTCATCCACAATTTATTATCTTCTTGGCATTTAGCTCTGTCTGCCTCTTTAGGCCCTACATTTTACCTTTTTCCCCTACTACTTCTTCCCCATCACCGGCACATATACCTTCCTCTCTCAGCTCTCTCTAGTCTTCGTGCTTCCCTTGTATTTTGTTCATATTGCATAGCCATATTTGGGAGATGTTAGAACCATGTGCTCTCTCCCCTTGCTCCCCACAGTTAAATTTTTTAATTTCTTCTATAACAGTTTTCTTTCTCCTAGCAAAGGAAAAAAGGAGCCATTTACTTTCTTGATATTTTTCAGACTGGGAGTCTTGGTGTGAAATTAAGGAATTATCTCCAAAATGGTTCATTGATAAAGAAGAAATATCCCAGAGGATGGTAATGGAAAGGCTTGCAAGTCATGGCCTTGAATGCTCCAGTTTCAGAGAAGCCTGGAAATACGAGGATGAATTTGAGCAGAATCAGGGAAATAAGGAGGTGCATTTCAGGCAAGTGACAACTGTTAAGGAAATCTCTACTGGGAAAAGAGACAATGAATACAATAATTCTGGGAGAAGCATTCCACTGAAATCAGTACTTTTAACACAACAGAGAATTCCCACACTACAGCAAGTACACAAATTTGATATTTATGATAAAATCTTTCCCCCAAATTCAGTTATAATTGAGTATAAAAGAATCCATGCTGAGAAGGAATCTTTGATAGGTAATGAATGTGAAGAATTCAACCAGAGTACACATTTTAGTAAAGATACAGGAATTTCTTCTGGTGAGAAACCTTATGAAAGTAATGATTTTTCAAATCTCTTAAGTTTCCACTCATTACTTACTCAACATCAGACCACTCATTTTGGAAAATTACCCCATGGGTATGATGAATGTGGTGACGCCTTTAGCTGTTATTCATTCTTTACTCAACCTCAGAGAATTCACAATGGAGAGAAATCATATGCATGCAATGACTGTCGAAAAGTCTTTAGCCATGGTTTCTTTCTAACTGAACATCAGAGAACTCATATTGGAGAGAAACCGTATGAATGTAAGGAATGTAACAAAGCCTTCAGACAGAGTGCACACCTTACTCAACATCAGAGGATCCACACTGGAGAGAAACCCTTTGCATGCAATGAATGTGGGAAGGCCTTTAGCCGTTATGCTTTCCTTGTTGAACATCAGAGAATTCACACAGGAGAGAAACCATATGAATGTAAGGAATGTAACAAAGCCTTCAGACAGAGCGCACATCTTAATCAACATCAGAGGATTCACACTGGAGAGAAACCCTACGAATGTAACCAGTGTGGAAAAGCCTTCAGCAGACGCATAGCTCTTACTCTGCATCTAAGAATTCACACAGGAGAGAAACCCTTCAAATGTAATGAATGTGGGAAGACCTTTGGCTATCGCTCACACCTTAATCAACATCAGAGAATTCATACCGGAGAAAAGCCCTATGAGTGCATTAAATGTGGGAAGTTCTTTAGAACTGATTCACAACTTAATCGACATCATAGAATTCATACTGGAGAGAGACCATTTGAATGCAGTAAATGTGGAAAAGCCTTCAGTGATGCTTTAGTTCTAATTCACCATAAGAGAAGTCATGCAGGAGAGAAACCCTATGAATGTAACAAATGTGGGAAGGCCTTCAGCTGTGGCTCATACCTTAGTCAACATCAGAGAATTCATACTGGAGAGAAACCCTATGAATGTAATGAATGTGGGAAAGCTTTCCATCAGATTTTATCCCTTAGGTTACACCAGAGAATTCATGGTGGAGAAAAACCCTATAAATGTAATGAATGCGGGAATAATTTTAGCTGTGTCTCAGCTCTTAGACGGCATCAGAGAATTCATAATAGAGAAACCCTCTGATTATAACCAGTATAGGAAAGAGACCATTTAGTTGACACTCAGTCCTTATTGGATATAAGTGAATTCTTTGTGGTTAGTAATTCTATGAATGTAGTGCATATGGAAAAGCCCTCAGTTCATGAGCATACATTATTTGAAATAGCCCGAGTAGCAGTCATCTATTACTTTTTGATCTGTTCTATACCCCACTATGTCACCCTCAATGCATATGATTCTGATGAAATTTAATCAGGACAACAATGAATTTGTCACAGGCTGGCCAATTGTTTTCTCCAACCTAGTGATTAATAAGGGATTGGCAAATGGCCCTGTCTGGACCAGTAGAGCCCTTTGGGGGTATTGTTATGGATAGTAAGAAAGATGATCTTCTCCCACCCCCTGGAATTGCAAGTTTCAAAGATTCAATAAGGTTAAAAAGGTTAACTCACGAGTAGCCTTTTTGCCACTCCATAAGGAAAGACTTCTCAAGTTGAAATCCAACACAGAGGAAACTGGAGATGAGAGAAAGAAATCTGATGACATTGTTTGATCTGGATCCTGTCATGCCTGGTGTCTACACCATCTTTTACTTTTTTATTTTTGTAATCCAATAAATTTCATTTTTTTGCTTAAGTCGAATTAGATTTTTGCCTCTTGGAATTCCGGTACTGACTCACATACCCTATGTTTGCTATACATGTGAGAAAGCCTTAATCTCTTATGTGGCATAATTATTTATCACAAGGAAAAAACATTATGATGGAACAAGTATATGAAACTTGAATACACAGCCATCATAAAGCTGAGAGAATTGTTATATTTTATTTGTTGATAAAATTAATTTAGTCATTATTAGTGTGTTTCACAATAAGGATGAATATTTTGAAATTCACCTAGTCAAATTCCTTAACAGGCTTTCCCTTAAGGAGTTAAAATCCTTTGTGCCAGTGACTCCGCACAGGCGTATAAAGAGAGAATGGAAAGCTGACAGAATAACGGATTCATCAGTTTAATGAATGTTCTTCATCCTAAAAGAACGATTTGATTTTCTTCTTTTAGTATGGGTTTAAACATATTGTGTGGCAGAATATAATAATTGTAAACGAGGTCTTATTTTGTAGGTGGGCAGTAAATTTGGTTTAAGGAGTTTGTGAGTAATGTCTTTGGAACTAGGGATATCAGACAAAGACATTGCTGGCAGACAGAAAGAATGAGCCGTTTTCAACTAATGGTTAAAGTAAAGCAGTTGATGCCTAAAATTTTGGAGAATAAATCATTATTCTTCAGAGTAATGATGCAGATGAGGGTGTGGGGCAATATATTCCTATATTATCTCAATGGGTGTTTGGAGGTAAACTTTGGTTATAGGGGAACTTAGCTATCTTGAACAGTTAGAACCAGTTAGAATCTTGGGTGTTGACTGAACAGTGTATAAAAACAGTTCAGAACAAATGAATTAGGAAAAAATGAAGGATTTGTAAATGTGAATGGAGCAAAACAATGACTACTACTTTCATAACTTGTTTAGCAGTCAATTTATATTTATATCTAATAAAAATCTGAAAATTATTTTTTAAAATATTAAGACAAATTCCCTTAAACAACTTAAACAACAGATTTAGTATAACTCAATACTTCAAACACGAATATAATGATTATAAAACATTGTCAAACTTATATTACATCTAATCTAAAATGTATTAATATCATAAGCTTAACTCATGTCATTTTTTTTTCTTGTATGTCCTAGAAGTACAGGAATACTTGTTTTAATAATTTCTAAGTATTGAGTAATAACTTATTTCAGAAAGTTTCCCAGTCCTAAACTTACCAGTCCTAAAGAAGAATAATGATTCAACTGGTGAAGACCGGTAGAGAGCCTGAGACCAGTTATTCACTAATTGATTTTTGACCTAAGTGTGGCACCTGATTTTTTTCCTCCAAGGTGACATAAACCCAAGCCACTGGTTGATTCTGTTTTTACAGTTAAATTTCACTTGTAATGTTGATAAAATCTTTTATATCCATGCCTTTTGCATACATGTTTATATTTTGCGATCTGATGTTTTCCTCACAGTGAGGTACTAAATTTTGTTTGTCTTTACAAGTATACACCCCCTTATCTTGTTGTGATATATTGACCTGATCTGTTTGAATTATTGAAAATTTATGCTCTGTTAGTATGTGATTGTTATTAGGATCATCTAGGGATTTGTGCTTATGTGTATGTGCATGCATCTAAAGAAGATATGTATTTCATTTAAAATTTTTGTATTAAGTGCCTACCGTGTGCCAGGCTTTGTTCTAATCTGGACAATGAAGATGCAGTAGTGAACTAAATAAACAAAAAATCCCTGTCTTCATAGATCTAATTTCTAATGAGGAAGACAGACAATAAAAAAGATATATAGTAAAATATGTAAAATGTAAGAGAATAAATTCTAAGGAGAAAAAGATGAAGGGAGGGATGGTGGGTGAGGGAAGGCTGACTTTTGAGTAAAGACCTGAGAAATGAGATCGATTTTACTATCTGGGCTTTGTTCTAATCTGGACAATGAAGATGCAGTAGTGAACTAAATAAACAAAAAATCCCTGCCTTCATAGATCTAATTTCTAATGAGGAAGGCAGACAATAAAAAAGATATATAGTAAAATATGTAAAATGTAAGAGAATAAATTCTAAGGAGAAAAAGATGAAGGGAAGGATGGTGGGTGAGGAAAGGCTGACTTTTGAGTAAAGACCTGAGAAATGAGATCGATTTTACTATCTCTCCATCCATCTATCCACCTATCCATCTATCCAACCATACCTCTACATGACATATGTACACACACATATAGACATATTTATATGCCTTATGTATCTAATGGAAAGGAAATTCATATTCTTATATATATTAATATCGTTATGAATATATGTATATATTTACACTTTGTACTTACTAAATTCATTCCCATATTTTATTATGCCTCTTTATTTGTACACTGCATTTTAACATTTTTTCTTTGGCGTCAGGTGGATTTATGGCCTTTTACAATCTTGACATTTCAATTAATTATATTGTATGTAATTTTGATGCTAAATTGTTAGAACTTAGTCACCAGGGGTCACTGTAAGCCAACTCCTTGTTCCCTTCAGCACTGCCCTGACATCTTTGCAAGCAACCTTACTTTCTGGCAATAACAGACTGTTCCAGACCCATCCTGAATGTTTCCTGCCCAAAGTCATGAAGTTAGCTACCTTCCAAATAATTTAGGTAGGGAGAAAACAGGCTTATATATTCACAAGGGGACAAAAAAGTCAGAAATAGGAGTTTCCCCTTTAAGAAAGGAAATTTTTCTCAGTCAAAGTTTTTGCTAGCTAGACTTTGAGGCATAAGAATAAGTCTAAAGTAAGTTTGTATTTTCTTTAGACACTTTTCTATATAGTTCCTGTTACCAAGAAGAAAAAGATGGCCCAACTTCACAGTAGAGCTCACTTTAATAAGAAGTATATATTAATTACCATTATAAAATTTGAAGTTGTTTCAGGACTTGTGAAAATTGTTTCAATAATAAGAAAAAAAAAAAAAAATGACCATTTGAAAGTTGGTGATATTAGATTGCCTCAATTGGTGTAAATGAGTTTAAAGGAAATGTGGCTAAGTTTCTTCAGATACATTACCTTTATGCTCTTCTACAGGGAGTTTTCTTTCTTTTTAAAAGTATTGCAGCTTTTCCTAAGAAAACAATGCAAAACTTTGTGTGGTTTATTATTTTCCACAGAGTTCTGGTCCCTTTTAGTAGTTACTGTATTTGGATGATAGGACTACACATAAATTTTGGGCAAAATCGCTGCCATTGTGATTGAGCCCCTTTTAGAGACAGCCGGAAAAATGCTTCCTTTATAGAACATGGTTTCATACTGATTTCTAGTTCATACTGATTTCTAGTTCATGCTTAGCATAATAATTTGCTATACCCTGCTAAGATTTTCTACTTATTCACAAAGCTCAAGAAAAGGACATAATAGATTGGATGATGAGAAAAGTAGATTTCTTAAAGCCATGAGGTAAGGGTACTTCAGTGACAGGGGAATGTCACCTTCCTGGTCAGCTTTCTTAGAGGCATTTGCCTTGTAAATCCTTGCATATTCTTCCAGAAGGAGCACTGTAAGTATCTGCTCCTTTGATTATTGGGACAAGTATGAATTTTGGAGTTAGACAGACCTACATGTGGATGTTAACTCTTTAAGTTGGGAGAATTGAAAGAGTGATTGTACTTCTTTCAGGCTCAGTTTAGTCATCTGTAAAACTGGAATAATAATTTTAGCCTTTGAAGTTTTTCTGAGGATTACTTGAAAGAATGTAGTATATGTAACCAATTAACATAGGAGTTATTAATGATGAAATGATACACAGGAAATCGAATTGCATGCCTTAGAGACAGCTGCTTATGGGAGATAGAATTGTAAAGTCAAGCCCCTGTGTCCTTTCTCTCAGCATGTGGGTTGAGTCCCCAACCAGCAGTGGCCTCAGCCCTTCTTTCTGATTCTGGAGTGCAAACTGCAGCTCCCGAGTCTCTCAGAGCTCCCTCTGGATATTTTAGGATGTTAGGACTCTGCCTTTTATTAACAGAGGCCAGGAGTCCCCAACCAGCAGTGGCCTCAGCCCTTCTTTCTGATTCTGGAGTGCAAACTGCAGCTCCGGAGTCTCTCAGAGCTCCCTCTGGATATTTTAGGATGTTAGGACTCTGCCTTTTATTAACAGAGGCCAGGAAAGGAAAAAGAAGGGCATGGATCTTGTTTTTTTCTTTTTCGTTTTGCATTGATCTTTTTGGATCTCAATTCATAGTACATTATCAAAATAATTTAGTGCAACACTCCTTTTCTGGTTTGTTTTCTCCCACATCATCCCCAATTCCTATTCTTGCCCATAGGCATGTGCACAGGTATGTTTAATATGCATCCTTAAATGTGTGTGTATCCCTTATCAAATAGGTCAAATGTTGTGTTTTTGAAACTTACGTTAATGGTATTATTATATATATATACATTTTTTTTCTACTCAGAACTGGTTTTTAGATCTATGTTCCTCTGTGCACTGTGCTCTAATGCTATTTATTACTTACATATTTACTACATTTTACTTATCCATTCCTGTAGTGATGAATACAACTCCTGGCTGCCATAAAGAATATCCTAGCATGTGTCCCCTTGAACTGAACTGGATTAGAACATTTACCTAGGAACCAGCTAGTGGGAGAAAGCGTTTTTTATACAGTTAATTTTACTAGGAACAACCAGATCGATTTCTAGAATGGCTGCAACTGTTTACATTCTCACCAGCAGCACCTCTTCTACATCCTTGCAAACATTTGATATTCTTCCTGGATGTTTTAGTTTGCATTATTACTGACTACTGGTGAGCTGGAGTGTATCTCCATTTATTTCTCAGTAATTTGGACTCCTTCTATGAAGTGTTTTTTCTTACCCTGCTTATCCATTATCAAATAGGTAATCAAATCCATTCATAAAAGTTTAGTTAAAATTTACTTGTAAATCCATCTAGACTTGAGGCTTTTTAAAAATCTTTTTGAAGGGATGGCTCTATATACCATTTCAGTTTATCAGGTTTATTCAAATGTATTTATTTTGTTTAGGTTGTCAAATTTGTTTACAAATAGTCATTTATAAAATTATTTTATTATTATTCTAACTTCACAGTTTCTTTTCTTGTTTTCATCTTTGCTCTTTTTTTACATAGACCTTGACAGAGGTTTATGTAACTTACTGACCATAAATCTTTTCAAACCCCATCTCATGGTTTTGTTATCCTTTTATTTTTTCATAATTCTCTATTTTGTTGATTTCTGCCTTTTATGTTTATAATTTCATTCTTTTTTGTTTCTTTTAGTGCACTCTATTCCTCTTATTTTACATTTTCAAATTGAGAATTTGGTTTTTTGTTTTACCTGATAAGTGTATTTAATACTATAAATTTCCCTGTAAATACTATATAAGTTGTGTCCTACAGTTTTGGCATGTAGTGTTTTCATTATTATTCAATTTTACATGTTTTGTACCTTAGATGTTCTTTAATTCAAAAGTCTTGGCTCTCTTTTCATTATTTGTTTTTAATGCTATTGCATTACAGTCAGATGTTTATATTGATTCTTTGGAATTGAATGAGAAGAGACTTTCTTTATAGCTTCATATGTGATCAATTTTCATAACTGTTAATGTATATTCAAAACTGTATTTTGAGCTCTGTTGGGCCACATTACGGTGCACTTCCACCATGAGGAACTTTCCCGTATCTAGTTTCTG